CCACCTCCCCCCTCCTCCTCCACCCTCCTTCTCCACCCCTCCTCCTCCAACTCTCCTCCTCCACCCCCTTCTCGAGATCCCCTCCGCCCCCTCCTCCTTCTTCTGCTCCTCCTGCACCTCCTCCTCATCATCATTATCGTTGCCTTCGTCATTGATGTTATCATACTTTTTTGTTTAGAGTAGATGTAATTATTTTTATCTCCAATGTCTGTGTTTTGTGGACAATCCGCTCAAATGTATTAAATCTAACATTTTGAAAAAAAGTGTTTATGTGATGGTATTGTTTGCATGTCCTTGAGAAATGTTTCAAATTCTGAATATAAAAGTAAAGTAAGAAAAAAATTCAAATAAAACTTTTATGAATAATGAAATTATCCTTTTCTCTTTCTTGAAATAAGAATGCTTTCTGGGTTTAGAGCAGTTGACCAGATGACAAATGACCTGTGGTTACTTGAGGGAGACATTGTGCTGCCAAGAGCGAAATGCTCGCAGCTAAAGGGATTTGAAGACAACAAGAGCAGTTGGACAGCTTGCTGACAATCTGAGTTACATTGATTAAATGTCTTTGTTCAGAGTAAAGACATTACGCTCATGTTTGGCCACCCATTGAAGAACGAGTAAAGTTAATTAACAATACAACCTCTTACACGTTTATATGAGAATGACGCTATCCGAATAGTAGAAAAAAGCACGTATGATAATGTTCAATAGTGTATTACGTGCATACTTAGTATGACAAGTAACTGTTACAGATAGAGGTTCCAGGATTTTTTATGTAAGTCATTGATCGGAGAGCAATGATGATTTTAGAAATAATGGTGGTAATGAGTGATGGTGTGGGATTGTGTTTAAGTAATGTTGGCGTTAGTTCTATCTTCCTCTGCTTCAATGAGTCACGAGGGACGTGGGCACCCTCTGTCCCTTTCCCTGCTGGAACCAGCCATCGTTAATGTATCTGTGCAGTTCCGAAGTTAAGTTACGTTGGGAGACTTTCCAGGTTGGTTACTGTGGCAGCAAGAGAGATGGACAATCGGAACTGATGAACAAGAAAACAAAATAAAGCTTTTTGGGTGAAACAAATTAGTTTGTTGATGTTTATTTCCCTTAGTGGGGTTAGGTGGGAGGGTGCGGTGGGTATCTATAGTTTAAGATCTCAAAGATCAGTTCAAAAATCTGTTGAATATCTTAATGATTGCTTTTCCTCTGCTAGGCACCACTACTGTTTTCTTCTGTTTTCAAAAGACGCAACGATGGAAGTATATCATACACGAAAAAAGTGATTATCTCGCTTTGATCTACATTGTAGATTCAAGAGTTTTTATCTTTACAGAACGATTTAAAAATTGAGCCAGTGTAATGTCCTCATTTTGGCTTCACGCTGATGTCTCTCCAATACCATCCGCTTTAAATCTATCCATAGTAGGATTCACTGTAGACTCCGCTTCCAAAGACTGCACTTCAAGCAGTTGAAATTGTGACGTCGATTCTAGATTGCTCCTTCCAAAGCGAGATGACCACGGTGTTACAGAGTCTCTCTGATCTGACCTGCTGTATTCTGGTCTTGGAACTGAACAGTTTGTCGTTTCGAATGACGGACCAGAAACTTGTAACAGAACACCAGAACAGAGTTCTATCATCTCTGCCTTGCTGACGTCATTGTTATGTACAGGAGTCCGAACTCCTTCAGACTCCAACATCGATACGTCGGTATCGCTCCGATTGATTTCACTCACAACTCCGCTTTTGGTTTTATTACTAGAATTGAAACCGGCTACAGATGTCGCTGGGTTGGAAAGTTCGATCACAGACTTCTCCACTCTCGGCCAAGTGTTCTTGAAGTGTCTGTGAAAGGAACCAATGTCCATGAGCAGCACGGAGCTCACCACAGAGATGATGACGATGAGACCTACTGCGCCCAGTGACCGAGCTGTTGGCCTGTCGTCTTCGGCGCTCGTCTTGGTTCGGATCTTGGAGGAAGTGGTGGATTTGTCCACGGCCAGTTCCGAAGAGACTTTGTCAGCATTCACGACCGCGTCTTCCAGCGTTGTGGCCGCGTCGGCGGTCAGGCGGGCGTCAGCTTCCGCACATGGACACAGGCACAGACCTGGGTCAGGAGACGAGAGACGGACCGGGGAGATGGCGTCACCTCGGCAGACGCTGGGCAATATGTGGAGCACGGCTGGGGATGGAGGTTGTTGGAAGGGGGGTGGGTGGGAGGTGTTGAGGGGGAGTTAACAGGATGAGAGGTGGGAATGAAAGTGTGTGTGTGTTTGTGTTTGTGTGTGTGTGTGTGTGTGTGTGTGTGTGTGTGTGTGTGTGTGTGTGTATGTGTGTGTTGTGGGAGGGAGGGATCGTGAGTACTGATTTTGTTTGAGGTATAAACAACCTACTCATTATACACAGCACACAGAGCAATGTAAAGATAAATGAAATCATTGTTTCATTTTTGTTTTTCTAATAATACATGTATACATTCCGCACACCACCATTTTCAAAACTGCCTTGAACTTCTAAATGAGTTGCATGCAATAATTTACAAGGATACCAACTTTCTTTTTATTTCGTTATGTAGAATAAAATATAAAGAAAACGCATGTTGAATTTCAATTTCAATGTAGTTCAGAGTTGACGTTGATTTTCTTGTCAGTTTGTAAGCTTCATCAAAAGGAGCATTGATCTTTGGAACAAGAACCAGACGACTTTAGAAATCAGCGTAGACTGCAACGGGACCACAATCCGGTCGACTTTGGGAGTAACGCTCTCGACTAAGCGCCTGGTGCTTATACTTCCATGTTCTAACACATAATATACAAAAGCAAACACACACACACACACACACACACACACACACAC